TTGCGTCCACGGTCCGACTTGTGAAATAATTATGCATACAATGGACTCAGGACAAAGTGCGTTCCTATAAGTCTTCCTACCAATATGACCAATTTGCGAAAATAAGGTTAAACAACTTCTATAAAATGAAATTTAATTCGGAAACCTGTTTCTCTACATTTGAGGCAATCACGTCGTCGGTGCTCGAACTCGGGTATTGGCAGAGTAACATATAATTATTATGACTCCGCTTAATTGCGCGTCCGTGCGTAGCCTAGTTTGCGTTAAATCTTAAGTTATGGGGTTAAAGAGATGAAGAACTATACTTTTGAATGGGACTGGCATTGGCAGACTTTCGCCTCTCCCAAGTTTGGTTGAGTTAGCCTCATTTAGGCTCAAGACGGAAAATAGCAGTGCCCAAAGGGCACCATGGCTAACCTAGTAAACTAGTTTTAGTGACCTCGACCGCTTGAAGAAGTCACTTCTTTTTAATTGATTTTTTCAAGGCCTATCTATAGATGTTTTTTGTATCCTGGTCGATTGTACGCCCCGAATACCACATTGGGCGCCAGCAAAGATCGATTTTCAAGTGCGGTCTAAATGTGTTCTTCAGGCTTTTGGCGAAAAGCCTGTTTGTTTCTGGGACTTATTAGATTTCCTTTTAACGGTCTCTCGAATCTTTTGTAAACAATCATCTAGGAGTACTCGTCGCAATTACTGCTACAATCTAACCCCAGACTGTAGCAAAACCAAAAAACTAGCTTCATTAATTAGCATCTGCATCATCCAATAGGTGTTGCTCGATTTAGACCTACAAATCCAACACTCAATTGGTAGGACTGCTATTTACCTGAAGGTCCTACAAAAAATTGTGCTCACTAACGCTCTAATTATTAAGAAAGCCTTTTGCATTTGACGACATTACTTGGATAAGTAGGCAGTCTGAGAACTCATAAATCCACCAGAAAAAGCTGACTGCAGCAAGAATATCTACAAGGTTTAGTTGCACTCCTTCCCAGAACACCGCAAGTAGGGCAGCCTGCATCGAACGCCAGCCCCGAAGTGTGCATTGCTCATTAATTAGCTCCCTTCATGTGCTGCATGATATTTATCCCAACTGTCCTATGCTATAGACAATCGCACTGTCTAAAACAGGGTCTTGCCCACTTTTTCCGTTTGCACTCATTCCGGAGAGGCGACCACTAACCGACTGCACCGACTGCACTTACTCATGATTTGGACATGTACTGCCATGTGGATATTGATCCTCATGCTCTTTGAATTGTGGATTATCGACCCCGAGCAACATGCGTACTATAACGTCTCTTGTTCATCCTTTCTAATTTAGTTTGGGGTTTGCATATGTAAAAAATAGTTCTGAATGTGAATTTCAAATATCTCTACAATTGACCTCCTAAAAGGCGAAAAACCCTGCAAAAACCTTCATCTGGAACTAACTTATGACATTGTAGTACTGGCAAAGGAGACACTTGTTATGACCATTTGCCAATACTTCCAGCAGGTGTACCTTTGAATGCTCTTCTTTGTTGATACTATTATATCCTGACTTAAAGATTATCGAAGGAAATCAACTTTTGCTGTCTCCTAATAAGCAGTTATGCTTGACGAGTCGTGTAATATTGAGGATAAACAGCTGCTTCAGCACACTTTGAATGAACTGAACGCAAGCTACGAAAAGCGTGAGGCTCTATCCAGCAGCTATTTCACCCAACTGCCTAGGGATCACACCGACCTTCCAACCGCTCAGTCATTGGTTGAGCCTGTCGATCCGACCAATGCTGAGTCAAATTCGAACTATGCCACGTCCGTATTTACCCTCCTCACGGAGGCTTCGTGCCCTGCCAAGTCAGCCCTCGTGACCGGATTATATCTTCCAATCAACGTGCCAGGCGATGAGGCCTTATCAGCCGAATGCGGCCGAGAAGAGGTCGGGCCATCGTACCACGTGGCGCCAAGACGTCAGTCGGAGAGCCTCTACTTGGGCCTGAGACCAGATCAAGTTATGCGAGGCGTGACGTCACGCCAAAGCCAGCCAAGCCTGTACAGTCCTGTTGATGGGCCGGTCAGTGCGTGTAGAGATGACGGACATCAGAACGAATTAAATCTCTCCACCGGAATGAACACACGTGAAGAAGGAGACCCGACGGGCCGACGAAGGGTGATGCGGTTGGAGGGAGACGGCGAGACAGAGAGAGAGGGAGAGACTGAGGGTGAGAGCGAGGGCAGTTGTGACGAGATAGTGAAGCTAGACGAGCGATCCACTTTCAACGGCAAACGGCAGAACCAGTACTTGTCGGGCCAAGTCTGCTGGTCGCCCAGTCCCCCTGCCCCCACCTACGCATCCACACCGTTGGCGAGTAAGAACACAGGCTCATCTGACTCTTGCATCCTATCCACCAATCAAAATCTAACCTCACCCTTGCAAGTCACCGACCTATCCAGGCAGGTGGACGGCGGTGTTTTGACTGTGCCTTCGTCACAGATGGGCGCATGTACAGGCAAAAAGTCACCATCTCCCAATAACCTCATACACACCTCCGGTATTGTATGTCTAGACAGCGGAAATTCTGACTCAATTCGCACCACTCCTGACGATTCATCTTCTCTTGCCACATTCAGTCTGAATGACATCAACGGTGCACCGGATTCACAGGCCAAATTGGCAGGATTACCACTGACTTATTTGGTCAGCGCCAATCAGCACAATCCGTACACGTCAAGTGATTCAGTCCCACATTTGGTGTCTGGCTGTTTACTTCACTCGACCGGTGAGCCGGCTAATCAACAAATCGCCAAATTCTCAACTGACCTGTCTCATCCTCACTTTATCTCATCTCACACCAATTGTAAATATGATGCTTTACCGTCAATACAGCCGTTACCCTCGATAAATGTTGTCTCGGAGAAGTTCGCCTCCGTGCAGTCATGTGGCAGTCTTGAACACACGACAATCAGGGACGGCAATGACGATTGCGAGAATGGCCTACTTCTCGGCTTTGCGTCACCCTCGTCCGCAGCACTCGGCGTTCCCAACAACCCCGTGAGTGCGACGGCAATGAATTTTGTTCACTCATTGTACTCATCAGCGCCAGATTATATTCAATCAAGTGGTGATGGTGTCCCACTCGTGCGTAATCACTTCGGAAGATTGGAGTTTAAATCAATGTGGGGCAACGGAGACATTGATCTAGCCAATACTCCAATGGCGACAGGGCCGATTACACAAAATCTGGCCCGAGAGGCCGACTATGGTGAAACCGGAGCTCGTAGCTACTCGGGAGAAGGGTCAACTGAAGAAGAGGCTCATCTACACATTTCCCCTTCACGGCACTCGGATCACAGTCGAGAACTGCAAACCCAGCATATGATGCCATCAGGACAACAGCATCAGCAAGCGCAGCAGCAACAAATTCCTATGACCAATTCGTTGTTAGATAAGCCGAACGACCTAGGCGAGGCCGGTACACCTCGGCCTAATTACTCCGAGGAAGACCTGGCTGGTGCACGAAATGCAATGCTCTTGTCAGGCCAGACTGCCGGGATTGTAGACGTTAGACCTCAGACAAATCCAATTTACTATGCACCATTCGCCTGCCAACACGAGATGGATATGAAACCGGAACTAAAGAGCTCATTGACAGGTAGATTTAATATATTTGAAGGAGCATAATTATTAATTTAATTATCCATACTGTCAAATTAGACCGTTTCATTTCTAGCCTTGATTGTAGTCATGTTCAGTCAGAATTAAGCCCAATTTGGAAAGCCAGCCGTAATCCCGACAGGATTCTAATTCGAGTCGTGCCTTTAAAGTGACAAGACATTATCATCTCGAAACTGTCAAGGCCATCCATGAATCTCCTAAATCGTCTTTATCGGTGCATTATCGATAGGACAAACTTTGTTTTGCTATCAACATATACTATATTGTTTATATATTCGTGCTTCGTAGAGCAACATCACTTTATGTACAGCTCGCTTGGAAGTGTTTGTATTCCAGGGTCTTCTTGGTCTTAAAGTATATACTGAAATGATGGGTCTCGAAACTACCAATAGGTATTAGTTAGTAATTGATAGTTGAATTCCTTGCAATGAATTAACTAGGCCCCACGATTCTCTAGTCAATAAGGCATCATAAATTTGAATTGTGAGAAGCACGGCTTGCCTTGAAAATTACCCCAGCCTAGGGACTAATTGACACACAAGTTTTTGTGGTGGCGAAGTAACGTTTTGCAACTTGACGTGAATGACTTAGCTTCGAACCATTTTATAGGTTCCAGATAAGGTCGAGGTTGTAGTTAATCCTGAATTAGAAAAGTAAGGTGAAGTTAATCATAGATATAAAGACCAAGATGTTGTGGCCTTTGTTTTGGTCGCAGTTTCCTTTCGCTGTATTGAAATAGTTTTGGCCTTGCTTTCACGACTTGGTCGCGTAGTCAGGGTTACCTAGTTGAAAATTTCTTAAGTCCTCTGCTATAGTAATTATGATAATTTCTACCCAGACATTTCGCCGGCACCGAAGTCGTCATTTTCATTGAGTCTCTTTGACGAGTTGTAGGAATGGCAAGACCTACTGACAATGCTGATTACAGTTCAGGCAAAATTCCTGGGCAAA